GTTTCTTCTAATTCCCCTCTGATCTTCCCAGTTAGCATATTAGGCACCTTCCAATCTGAGGGGGTCATTTTCTGGCATCATAGCTTGTAGCCTTTTGATACCTTTCATTGGGTTTTCTTAGTAAGGATACTGGAGAGGGTTGCCACTTCCTTCTCCACTGGGTCACCTTGTGTTAGGACCCTCCACTATGAACTGTCTGTCTTGGGTAACCCTGCACAGCATGGCTCATTGCTTCATTGAGCTGCACAAGACTTTTCGACATGACAATGCGGTGATCCATGAAGAACCTGAAATAGATACCTCTTTGAATTAGAGAGTGGAGTCCAGGGAGTCCTCTTCCAGGCTGCTGAGATCTTCTAGGGTGACTTCCACTTCTTTGGGAGAATCCCGTGAATGACAATAGTTCCTCTTTAGGCATCGGGGCAAAAGAAACTCGGCATTCCTAAAATAGGGCCTATTGAATTTGGATCCCCAACCAGAACAATGCTTCTGTTGCTGGATACATCTCCAGAGTTGGAAGAATCCTCAATCTCAGCTCACCCATCACCAGAAAAGTAGGCTTTCTATTCTCTCCGTATTTAAGTCCTGCCTGGAAGCAGACGGTGCAGCAAAGGATGATGTGGAAAAAGCAAAAGCAAAAGGCAGGTGGGTCACATCCATTGAGGACAGCAGTCTGCTGCTTTGCAGTAAAAGAACCAATCACAGCAGAACTTGGGTCCATATAGTTAGTCTAAATATGTTGTCCCAAGGACTAGGTATCATCTTGCTCCAGCGCCCAGAGCACTCCAGCATACAGTATATCACAGAAGTTAATACACTCCCTCACATTTTGTAAATATTTAAGTATATCTTTTCATGTGACAGGACAGTTTAGGAGAAGTGAATAGAGGACCTCCATCCCTCCCCAACAGAAAACACTTTGTCTTTCTTACCCATGGACTGGAGGAATTGCTAGCATCAGAAGCCGCTGCAGCATCCTCCCAGCTTCCCTCAGACTCCTCATCCAGAAGGTCAGAAAGGGAGTCCACATCCTCCAGGCTGCTGATCCTGGAGCCCACCAGGAATGTCATAGAATCCTGCAAATGACAGTATGCAAACTAAATCCAAAGCTCTTTGCATCTCAATAAGATGGCTAAAGCATAGGGTGCATACAACCCCTATGTGCCAACAGTTAGAAAGCCTTTGCAAGCCTTAAGCTTACAAGGAAATATCACACAATTTCTCCCCTCTGACATAAGGAGTTATGGTATGGCCTCCATCGGCCTCATTACCCAAATCTTCTTACATCTGAGAAAGTTGTTTTCTCCCCATTGGGAGAGAGCTCCTCTTCTGTGTCTTGGTCTTCCCCCATTAGAGTCCTGCCCAGAGGAAGAAGATGAGATGTTTAAGGAATCAAGCTAGCTCAGCTTCTCTTTTCCAAGATGAGTCACTCAGCCTGTCCATCTTTTGAGCCTCTTATGAACCAGCAAGGGTCTTCTCCCTACACAGTGCTACCTACCTTGACGGAAAGGGACCCTCCAGATCTTTCGGGCTTTCTAATGGAAGGGATTCTTCCAATGGAACCTGAGATAAAAATGAAAAGATTCTGTCTGTGGGCATATCAACAAATCCACAGAGAAAGGGCCATTAGCATGGTGAGGAGATGTCCAGGCCTTACTGATTCAATGGAGCTGTCCAAAATTATGGAGAGACGTAACCTCCATTCTCTATCTTGACATTTCTGGGGAGAGAATGAATGGCCAATTATCAAAAATAGCCATAAGCCTTTTTTAAGAGTAAACCAGGTGGAGGCTTTAAGAGGCCTGCCAGCTGGCCTGCCAATGAGGTTGCCCTGTGCCACTTTTCCTTTAGCAGAAACAGAAGTAGAGTGTAGAGATGCCGCCTCTCTACAAACCTTTCTTCTAGTCCTCTCTACAAACCTTTCTTCTAGTCCTCTTTAGAGCTTCAGTGTAGCTGCCTTCTTGGGGGCTTCAAAATCCCTCAGCTGAGAACACTAACCTCATTAAAATGAGAGCTGGCCTGATATCTTCCTTCCTGGAGTTCCGGGTGTTGGCACAAACACCTATCAAAACCTGAAAGTAATAATTGTTCATTTGAATGTATAAATCAAAGTTCTCTGCAAGATAACACCATGAATCCAACGGGCTCTTCTTGAATTCGCTAGGATGATCAGGTTCCCCCACCCAGTTTTGAGGCATGAATCTCTACTGGGCATGTTGCAAAATCGTCCTTACCCCTCTGAATGAAGATGTGTCTCCATGGGGGGAGCAGCCCTGCTGCTCACCATGTTCCTGTGCCTTGTCAGACCTGAGCAAAAGAAGAAGGTGACATGTCAAAGAACATCCATCTACCTCAGCCTTCCCTTTCTAAGACCGACCAGTCAACCTGCCCATCTTTTGCTCCCACAAGCCCCTTCTGGACAAGAAGCCATCTTGTGGAGAGGCTCTTACAGATTCTCTTACGGTCATCAATGGTGCCCCACCATGCCCAGGGTTTAAGGAGAAGGTGGTAGTACCTGTCAGGAGGCATAGGAAGGTCCTCCAAGTCACCCTTGATGCAGCAGAAAAGTGCTGAACATCTTTTCCAGATGTGCTGTGAATAGAAGAGAAGAGAAATAGACTTGAGCCAGTAAGAAGAGTTGGAAGCGCAACTTTTTCTCCTACTGCCAGGTCCTTGGCTGCTGAGATGGCCACAGTTACTTTGAAAAGCCTTCTGACAGCCATGACCAAATTAGCTGTTGCTATTGGTACTGCTATATTTACTGCCCAACAGAAGACTAGGCAGCTCTGCACTGGCTCCAGAGCCCACTGCACTCCAGCACAGTTCACTCAGTTTCGAAGAACTGAATAGAGGGCATCCCTCCCTCCCCAACAGAAAACACTTTGTCTTACTTACCCATGGACTGGAAGAAACACTGGCCGCCGAAGCCTCTGCATCCTGCTCCCAGCTTCCCTCTGACTCCTCATTGAGAAGGTTCTTCAAGGTGATGATCCTACCAGGACTGTCAGTGAATCCTGAAAATGACAATATGGAGGACAAATACAAACCTCTCTGCATCTCAATAAGATGTCTAAGGGTGCATTCAGGCTGGATAGATTATATTCAAAATAAATATCGGAATAAGAAATTGCAGATAGGTTATGAATGATTATATAGATATTTAGTGTGTCTTTAAGTAATAAAGCTAGGCGGGTAATTAGGGAATTGAAGAAACAAGAGATGTGAAATGTCATAATTGTTTAGATTAGGATTGATTATGATTGTTGAAGTTTATACCCTGTAATTTGTTCTGGGAAGGGGAGGGGGGGAGGGGGGAGGTTGAGGTAGGGAAGGGGGGGGGAGAATATGTAAACTTTTTGTAAAACTTTTCAATAAAAAAAAAAAAAGATGTCTAAGGGTGCATTCAGGCCTTGTGTTCTGAATAGCAAGGACACCTTTGCAAGCCTTAAGCTTATGAGGCTATATCACACAATCTCTCCCCTTCCTCATCAGGATCTACAGCATGGCCTCCATTGTCCCCATTGCCAAAACCCACTTACCTCTGAGGAACGTGTTTAATCCCCATTAGGGGTTTAGGAGAGAGCCCCTCTTCCATGGCGTTGTCTTCCAACTTTTCAGTCCAGAGGAAGAAAGTGAAATGTGGAATGAAAGCCCCTTTTGAACCATTAGGGGTCTTCTCCCTCCGAGGTGCTACCTACCTTGATGGACAGAGACTGTCCACACCTTTAGGGCTCTCTAATGGAAAGAATTCTTCCAATGGATCCTGAAATAACAATGCAAATATTCTGTCTGTTGGCATATCAATACATCTGCAGAGACAGGGCTTCTGCCATTAGCATGGTGAGGAGATGTTCACACCTTACCGACTCAGTGGAGGTCTCCACAGTTGTGAAGAGGTGGGACCTCCAGTGGAGGTTTTCTTCGAGCCTCTGGGAGGGCGAAAATGGCCTCCCCTGGGCTCCGGAGGCCCTCTGGAGGCCGGAAACGGGCCCATTTCCTGACTTCCGGAAAGCCCGGTTTTTGCCCTCTCAGAGGCTCTGCGTGGGCCCTGCACTTACCTGGCATCCAAAACGGGTCACTTGGAGACTCCTGGGGGGGGGGGGGCACTCAGTCCTTGCAACTACCAGTTCGGCGAACCAGATATAAAGTTATCATCCTGTTAGCCTGAACTGGTCCGAACCAGCTGAATCCCACCCCTGAGTATTTCCATATTGGAGAGATTGCTACAAAGAAGAAAGGCTCAAATTATTCTCCAAAGCACCAGAGGGCAGGACAAGAAATAATGGTTGGAAACTAATCAAAGTTCCTAACAGTGAGGACAATTAACCAGTGGGCAGCTTGCCTCCAGGAATTGTGGATGTTCCATCACTGGAGGTTTTTAAGAAGAGACTAGACAGACATTTGACTGAGATGGTATAGGTTCTCCTGCTTTATCAGGGGACTGGACTAGAAGACCTCCAAGATCCCTTCCAGCTCTATTCTATTCTAAGTAAGGCCACTTGGAGCAGGCAGAAGAAAGCAGGATGCTTTCTGGTGGCAACTTTCTCCTGGTGCTTCAAAGTTTGACTGAACTGGGATCTGGGCTGAACTGGGATCACCGAATTCTGCAAAGCCTTTAAACTCCCAGGTAGAGAAATTGCTCTGGCTGCAGCTCAAAAATTCTCATTGCACGTTATCATGATGAAGGTTTAGGAATGTAGATTTACACAGACATGATTTAACCCTAACCCTATGGATTTCGCTTGAATGTACCAAGCTCAGAGCCCAGGGTCACTTACATGTTATCTGGGGCGTTGCTGTCACTGCTGGATTGCACTTCAGACTCCTCTTCTGATTTGTCCACCTGGCCTCCCAGCCAGGCGAGCAACCTCCCAACAGCTGGCCAGCTGGGTGGGCAAGTGGCCTGCTGGGCAAGTGAGTGAGGGGCCTGTGGGGAGGGCAGGCGAGTGAGGGGCCTGCCAGGTGAGACAGCCATGCAGCCTCCTATCTGACAGTGCAGGCGTCTGGCCTCCCGGGGAGAGAGGGCTTTAGTGTAGCTGCCTTCTTGGGGGCTTCAGAACACATACCTCCACAGATCATGAATGGACATCACATCTTGGTTCCTGGGGCTCCTTACAGCGGCACGAACACCTATCGAAACCTGAAAGCATTTCATTGGAAGATGTAAATCAAAGTTCTCTGCATGTGGTGTAACATTGTCTTCCCCAGGAGGGAAGGGCTGCATTCCAGAGAGTAAAGAAACAGCAGATTGTGGAAAATTTGGCCGACAGGAAGTGGCTGAAAATGGCTCTTCCTTAATATTTCCCAGTATTTTCCCCTCCAAGCCATCAAGATCTTTCCACAAATCCAAGGGGCTCTTCCAGGTGAGAATTCCTCCCTTCCCCCACCTGGTTTTCATGCATGAACTCCACTGGCCATGTTGCAGAACCATCCTTACCCCTGGAAATGAAGATGTGACTCCATGCCTCCCTGCTGCTCACCATGTTTCTGTGCCTCGTCAGACCTGAGCAAAAGAAGAAGGTGACAATTGTTCATTTTAATGTACAAATCAAAGTTCTCTGCAAGATATCACCATGAATCCAAGGGGCTATCCTTGAATTCGCTAGGCTGATCTGGCAAACTAACAACCTCATTTGGATGCTTTGCAATTGCCTTACCTTTGTTACTGTTTGCAGCATCCTGGCATTCACTTAATGACTTCAAAATTTGCTTAATGACTACAGCATTTGCTTAACAACTATTGTAAAAATGTTGAAGATTTGGGTCCAGTCACATCATGCCTCGATTCACCACTGCAGCAATGTATGGCTGTAATTCAGGGCTCAATTGCAGTCTTAAACTGAGGACTATCATTACTGATAATGTGACTTCGAGCTCAAAGAGAAAAAAGTTCACATTTTTAAAGACCAGGAAAGAGACACTGTACTTAAATGTTTTCTAAATAAATTTTGAAGCATTCATTCCCCTAATAAATAGAGACATTTCTTCTTTCTTTATGAATGGACTTGCTATTAGCAATTATTTTCTATTTTAAATTTCCAAATATCATACAGTAGGAACAAACAAACAACCAACAAAACAAATAGACACCCGGTTCAAAGTAACCAGCTTCACTTGTACTTCAGATACAATGAAATATATGAATTCACATGCTTCACAGAAACAGAACAAAGTCTTATTTTCTTTCAAATCCCAGTTTGCAGGTTTACTTCTAAAATGTCTATTGTTTCATATAGATACAACTTTTTTTCTTCCTGCAATGGGAGAATTTGCTCAATTTTTTTTTCATTTTTAAATGTTGTCCTTGTATCCTCTATGAATTTATAAAAATATCTAACTTTGATATGATGCCAAAACAGGAATAAATTGTTATCCTTTTGACTCCATTCCTGAAGGATGGGCTTCAGAGTTGTGAAGTGATTAGAGAAATTTCAAAGGAAAGTTTGGAAACAGGATTAGGTAGACATAGGACAAGTAGTTGTTGATTTACAAGAGTTCATTTAGTGACTGTTGAAAGTTACAATGGCACTGAAAAAAGAGACTTATGACCACTTTTCAAATTCACGACCTTTGTAGCAGTCCCTTGATCGTGTAACCAAAATTCAGATGTTTGGCAACTGATTCATACTTACGACCATTGCTGTGTCCCAAGATCATGTGATCACCTTTTGCAACCGTTTGAAAAGCAGAATAAATACAGAAGCCAGATTCACTTAACAACCATTGTTAGTAACATCACCTACAGTGATTCACTTAAGAACAGTGGCAAGAAAGGTAGTAAAATGGGGCAAAACTCACTTAACAAATGTCTCACTTAACAACAGAAAGTTTGGGCTCAATTGTGGTCGTAAGTTGAGAACCACCTCTATCACTCTGAATATTTTTCCTAGGGCTAAGACTCCAGACCTTCCTCCCGTCTGTCCTTCCACTCCCAGCTCCCAAATTTCTCACTTCTCTTCCCTCCAGGAAGAAAGAATACAAACCAGGAGGAGGAACCCACTGTTACTGTCCTTTGATTGATGGTCCTAAGATCCAGTCAGCACTCACTGAATTTCTGGGCCACAGAAAATGGCCTCCTCCTTTCCCAACCCAGGGCCTCAAAATCAGGCCTGAGATGAGAGAGGTCTGCAGTCCCTGCTGTTGGTCCTCCTGTAGTTCCCCTCAGGCTGAGACAGCCAGTGTTTTCAATGGTTTGCACACTTTATTGCAGTGGAGACAGACACACAAACCCCAGAGCCCACAAATAACTATGAATAGGATTATGATGGTGATAAAATACTAGGGCTAAACAAGGCAAGGCAACAGGAAGGAACGGTTACTCTGGATATTTGCCATTTGGGAGCAAATTTTATTTCTTTAGCCTGTGGCATATGCATACATACATAGCGTGTATATATACACACACATTTCATGTACATTAAGAAAACACAAATACGTTAGATCTATGTTCAAATACCAATCTCTAGGCCATTTAACCATTGAAGCGAAGCATCATTTATATTTTAAAAATCGCATACCATATATGGCCTCAGTTTACAGCCGGTCATGATCTGATCTACAATTTGATGTAGGACCCCCATTTTGTGTGAGTTTAAACACTGTTTGCTGTTTCTGAATTCTAATGCTAATCCCTGCCTAAATTGCCTTGGCACATAATTTTTCCTCATCCTGTTTAGTTTCCCTTTCTTTTCTGCTTTGCTGCTGAGTAATAACAAGCCTTTGCATTTTGTTCCCCTGACAGGCCAAACTTTTACATTTACTGCTTCTAAATGCAGGGAAAGATTCACCATTCAGTTTTGATGAAAAGAGGAAATAGTAGTTTCACCAAGCTGCAGTGCAGAACTCCCACAGCCCCCACCCACAATCCCATCTTAACTTTTACAAACTATCTGGGTAGAGAAACCAGTGGATATTTGAGAACTGGCAGTTCTAATACATAAATTGAGAGAGAGAGAGAGAGATGCTGGATAACACACAGTATAATTTTGCTAGGTTTTTAGTTTCCTTTCAATACACTTTACTAAAACAACAGCTTAATGAAGGCGGGAAAGAGCTAAAGATATTAGCACTTCATTTAATTATCTCATCATATTAAATGACCTCTTAGACTTTCCTTTTTATTGTGCCTTTCTCTGTTTTGCAGGACATTATGGTAAAACAGTTGCAGCTCAGTCGTCAAATGCGGTGGATTTACCCAGTGAATGGACTTTTTGAGAAGAATTGTGGAAATGGCAAGTAGCATGTTTTCCATAATTGGTTAGTGAGAGACCTATTGAACTCTTGCTCTTGCTGTTCTGATCATATGGCAATAGGAACAGCAGATTACACTGATTAAAATAATAGGTCTGGTGTCTCTTAAAAATCTAACATCTCTTCTGTATTTATGCATTCCCTGTCTGTTCAGCCTCCGGAAACAGGAGGATTCATTCTTGCGTTATTGTATTTCATTTTGACAACATATCCTTAGTATAGAATATTTGAGAAGGTCGGTTACTGTGGTCCATGGCCTAGAGAAGTGCTTGAGTGGCAGCTGAGATATGGGAAACTTGAAAAATGCTGGTAACTTGGAAGTTATCACTAGATAATCAATACAACCTTACTTATTTCAATGTATATAGCCACCCATATGACATATGAATTTGGGCAGTAAGCAATAATTAAAATTAATCATTGAAATATTATCGGCATCATCAACAACCAAAAAACGGATCACACCAGAGGAAGCTCATATACCACATGCACTGGGAAACATCCTGTCCCAAGAGGAGGGGAAAAAGCCACGTTTTAATTCCTGGGTGTGTGCGGGGAGGGTGTTGTAGAGATCAGAAAATGGAAGAAGATACATACCACATTGCTTTAGTAACAACATATTTTGGAATATTATCTCCAGTTTTGGCCACCACAATGCAACAAAGATGCTGAGACTATAGAAAGGGTGCAGAGAAGAACAATCAAGACTAAAACATATGATGAAGGGTTGCAGGAACTGGCTATATCTAACAAAAATAAAGACTATGGGTGACATGATAGTGGTCTTCCAACATCTGAGGGGCTGTCACAGAGAAGTGGCTGTAACAGGTGGAAAGTTATGAAGGAGAGAATCAACCTAGAACTAAGGAGAAATATCCCGATAGGAAGAACAATTAACCACTGGAACGGGTTGTCTGCAGAATTTATGGCTGTCCTATCAGTGAGGTTTTAAAGAAGAGATTGGACAGCCATTTGTCTGAAATGGTACATGGTCTCCTGCTTGACTTTTTCTCCTACTGCCAGTTTCATGGCTGCTGAGATGGCCACACTTACTTTGAAAAGCCTCCTGACAGCCATGACCAAATTAACTGTTCCTGTTGGTACTGCCATATTCACTGCCCAACAGAAGACTAGGCAGCTCTGCACTGGCTCCAGAACCCACTGCACTCCAGCACAGTTCACTAGTTTAGGAGAACTGACCAGAGGGCGTCCATCCCTCCCCAACAGAAAACACTTTGTCTTTCTTACCCATGGACTGGAAGAAACGCTGGCCTTGGAAGCCACTGCATCCTGGTCCCAGCTTCCCTCTGACTCCTCATCCAGAAGGTCAGCAAGGGAGTTTACTTCCTCCAAGCTGCTGATCCTGGAGCCCACCAGAAATATCATGGAGTCCTGCAAATGACACTGTGGTTGCTAAATCCTAAGGTTCCTGAATCTCAATAAAATAGTTAAAGCCGACTCAGCCTTCCATCCTTTCTAAGGTGGGTGAAATGAGGACTCGGTTTGTGGGGGCAATAAGCTGACTTTGTATAAAATATACAAAAGTATGAAGGCTATTGCTTAACGCATTGTAAGCCACCCTGAGTCTCCGGAGAAGGGCAGCATATAAAAATAAATAAAAATAAATAAAATAAAATAAAAATAAAGCCAACAGCAGGAGGGCCTTTGGAAACCTTAAGCTTAGGAGGCTATATTGCACAATTTCTCCCCTTCCTCATCAGGACTTATGGCATGGCCTCCATTGTCCCCATTGCCAAAACCTGCTTACCTCTGAGGAATGTGTTTTCTCCCCATTTAGGACAGAGCTCCTCTTCCACGGCTTTGTCTTCCAAGTTTTCAGTCCAGAGCAAAAAGGTGAAATAAATGTAAATGAAAGCCCCTTGTGAACCAGTAGGGGGTATTCTCCCTCTGAGGTGCTACCTACCTTGATGGACTGGGACTCTCCACATCTCTCAGGCTCTCTAACGGAAGGGATTCTTTCAATGGATCCTGAAATAAAAACACAAAGATTCTGTCTGTTGGCATATCAGCAAATCAATAGAGACAGGGCTTCTGCCATTAGCATGGTGAGATGTTGAAGCCTCTCCACAGTTGTGAAAAGATGCAACCTCCACTTCTCTGTCTTGACATTTCTTGGGAGAGAAGGAAGAACAAATTATCAATACTAGCCATCAGCCTTTTTTAACATCGAACAGTTGTAGGCTTTAAGAGCGTGCCATCGGGCCTGCCAATAGGGTTCCCTTGCATCATTTTTCCTTTCGCAGAATCAGAGGCAGAGGGTAGAGATGCTTCCCCTTTGCAAGCCTTTCCTCTAGCATTTCTGTTTAGGGATTTAGTGCAGCTGCCTTTTTGGAAAAAGTTCAGAGAAGAGCAACTAAGATGATCAAAGGCCTGCAGACTAAACCATATGAAGTTGCAGGGTTTGGGTCTGGCTAGTCTAAAGAAAAGAAGAATTAGGGGTGACATGATAGCAGTATTTCAGCATTTGGGAGGCTGCCACAAAGAAGAAGGGCTCAAATTATTCTCCAAAGCACCAGAGTGCAGGACAAGAAATAGTTGGAAACTAATCAAAGGAAGAAGCAATCTGGAATTAAGGAGAAGCTTCCTAACGGTGAGGCCAACTAACCAGTGGAAGATCTTGCCTCCAGTAATTGTGGACTCTCCATCACTGGAGGTTTTTAAGAAGAGACTGGACAGTCACTTGTCTGAGATAGTATAGGTTCTCCTGCTTCAGCAGGGGGCTGGACTAGAAGACCTCCAAGGTCCCTTCCACCTCTTTTTTTATTCTAGGAAAGGCCACCTGGAGCAGGCAGAAGCTAGCAGGAGGCTTCCTGGTGACAACTTTTTCCTGATGCTTCAAAGTTTGACTGAACTGGGATCTTGGCTGAACTGGGATTATCGACTTTTGCAAAGCCTTTAAACTCCTAGTTGGAGACTGGCAGCAGCTCAAAAATTCTTATTGCATAGAACCGGTTGGTGTCGTGGCGAGAACAGTTGGAAATAGCGGAAGTCTGCGAGCTCCATGAAAACCAGCCGGTATCTGCTTGTCGGTTTTTAATGGACTTGTCGCTGTTGTCGCTGTTTAATGGACTTGGAGCAGGAGAGCCATCTACTGGAGGAAGAAGATTACTGCAGCGTGGGAAAGTGAGAATTGTTTAAGATATCCAAAGAAAAGGAGTGAAAATAAATAACACCTGGAAGGCCACTTGACCTTGATTCTATCTCAGTAGGCAATTTGGAGGTTTTAAAGAAGAGATTGGACAGCCATTTGTCTGAAATGGTACAGGGTCTCCTGCTTGAGCAGGGGGTTGGGCTAGAAGACCTCCAAGGTCCCTTCCAACTCTGTTATTCTGTTAAATTCCGCTTCTAGGTGACTTTTATGGCCTCTGATCAATGTCTATTCAGGGTTTTACCTTTATATAGTAAATATAGAACCTTTCTTTCATAAGTAAGTGCATATTCCCAAAAAGGACCCAGGTTAGTTATTTTGTTTAAGATGTTTATTGAAAAACATCATCAGTGCTCCTTGAATATATAATAAATAATCCCCCCAATTGCTTTTAGTTGGGAAGTGGGGAAAGAAAAAAAAAGGTATAAATTGGCCTCAGAATTGCTCTAGCTAGATAGAAGCTCTTTATAGTGAGCATGTGCCAATAACATTTTGGGGGGCGTTATTTCAACAGGTGGGTTTATGATTCCTAATAGAGAAGGTCAGTCTGATTGACCATCAGACAGAGGAATTAAACAGGATCTTCCTTC